GAGAGAGAGAGAGAGAGAGAGAGAGAGAGAGAGAGAGAGAGAGAGAGAGAGAGAGAGAGAGAGAGTTGGAGGCAATCCACTTGAACTGGCTTGAAGGAAGGAGGAGCGAAGAGCGACAATGGAGAGAGACAGAGAGAAAGTTGGTGGCAACCAACCTCAACTGGTTTGAAGATGCCTCGTCCCGATGCATGCTCAAGTTGCCTTATGTTGCCTTTTGTCGCCTCTTGTTGCCTCCTTTTTCGTGCTCGAGCTATGGCTGGTGCTACTGCTGAAAAGGGATATGAATGACCAAGGATAGTCGACCGCACGATGGCCGCCAATGAGAGAATACAACGGGTGAGTCAACGTACTACCAGGGTGCCCAGCAGCGGAGTGGGAGAGGTTTGAGGTGTTCGAAAATGACCTACTCATATCTTCCCCCAAAATCTTTTCCACGCCTGCGCATCGCCTAGAAAAACGTTTCGCGCCCAAGGATGTTTTTTCACTACTAGCCCTCCGGGCCTCCTACCCCACTCCCCTCCAAACGCTTTTTTTTGAGGACTCCGACTTTAGTCGATGGGCCGTACGCCGTCCTCACGCCAGGTGCGTGGTGCACTCTGCGCCATATGTGCCCCGACGCAATGCACAGCACGCAACAGAAGTATGGTTATTTCACATGTTTACTGTGGTGACCTGCAAAACTGAAGACTCCTTGTGATTCCGTTAATTTTCTAATCATGCCATTTGAATATTTTTTGGAGCATGTGTCACAGTGGTTTATGTGATATCCCTCTGCGGAGGCTGTGGATTTGAGCCCAAAACAATTATATTCTTTTGTGGTCTGAGCCATGCTACGGGATCTGTGAAACGATTGCTCCAACTCATGGCAATGACGCTGATTTTGAATGCAAAACTTGTACTTTTTTCCTCCCTCAGGGACTGTTAAGTTGTGTTACCATGAGCTTTCAAAATTAGGAATTAATTGAATAATGTAAAACATGAAAGAATATGGGTCGCACTGCACTAAACATTATGCATGCATTTGGGTGTCTCTTTGGAGAACGTGCATTTCGAGGAGTCCACCGTTTATAGAGTATCGAGTTGATTATGAGCTCCAGATACATGTAGAGTGTTTTGTAGCGGAGCGAGGTCCTATGCTAGCTGTCTTTTGCATTCCTTGTGTCTGGTTTGTTTTCATTTTTCGCTTTAATGTCAACTCACATGGTTTTTGTCAAAGATAATTAGTGTTGCAAACAACATCACCGAAAGGAAGGGCTAACAAACCTCCCCCTACCCCCCCTCCCAAACGTGTTTCTTTCGATAGCTCTATTTTGTCTACCTATCCTGCCGAACACTCTTCTGCCTATTCAGGCTCTCTAGTTAACTCTGGACAGTATTGGAAGTCAGTCGATCGGGGTACTTGCATATTAAATATGAAAATGATGTGCGGTGCCTCATATTTCTGGAAATGTTTTGCTCAATGAGAATGGACACTTAGTAGAAAATTTGGAGAGATAGACAGTTGGTCCTCCGAGCTTTGTAAAACATCAATCTTGGATGGCACATGAAAGGGACTCTCGGTGGTATCTACTGTGAACTAAAGGGGATTCCCACTAGTGTCTACTGTGAATGAAGAGTTCAACCCAAGTCCCTTTGACAGTTTTGAAGTGGCTAGCGCACCACATGCTTTAGGGTTGAACCTTCAGATTCGAAAAGGATGTTACAACACACACACACACACACACACACACACACACACACACACACACACACACACACACACACACACACAGAGAGAGAGAGAGAGAGAGAGAGAGAGAGAGAATGAGTTGTAAACATGCGCAAGTAAATGGATACCGTAGATGAGAAACAGGGCAAGCTGTCACCGGCCGTCCGAATCCTATGCAAGTAAATGCACAATGCAAAAAAAAAACAGGGCTCATTCCTTAGCACAAAACCTGCCCACGACAATTCAAATAGAGCACCCTAGATAAGGGAAGATAAGGAAAGCATGGAGAAAGCAACCCCCGGACACCCAGGCAGAACCGCAGGCGAAGGAGGAAGTCTTGCAACAACATCTGTTCGAGAATAAACACATCTTGGATGAAGAGGGACTGCCTTTCCTTGCAGACGGTTTGACAGCAACCTTCGGACAGGCATGGATGAAACATGGTGTGGTTCGGATTCGGGACCTGTGGTGTACCCTGACGGGTTCTTGGGAACCGATAACAAAACTCAAGAGAAAGCTAAGCGGCCTGAGACGAGTAGAGGGAAATTGGAAAAGGATTGTTGATGCGATACCCGCAGGCTGGAAGAACATTTTCGGGCCCAAGAGGAGTCGCCCCGCCAAGAACCTGGTACGTGCCCGAAGAAGAGCAAGAAGTGGAGTGTTGTGGAAGGTGTTAGAAACTCTGCCAAGCAGTTTTGGCAGGGTGAAAAGGTGGCGAAGCAGCTCTTACTCAAATGAACTGCAGAAGGTGAATGAGGAGACCTCAAACAAATTCGGATAATTGAACTGCAAACGAAGGTAAGCTTGGTCAGAGTACTCACCTAGATGGGTAGACTTCCTCTTAATGAACTATGCATATATCCTCAAGCCTGGAGTTGGAGGGAGGAAGGGCAGAACACAAGAACCTAGTCGATGGGAGAGCTCACAGTCAAACAAGATTACAAGATGACGGCCAGAGGAAGGAAGCTACCAGCAGAAATTACGGTGGATAGATGGCAGGCGGTGATGACAGAAGACCTATTCGGGGCCGGCAGACGATTTCAAAGAGTCTGGAAAATCCTCAAGACACTGCCAAATGGCAAATAGACGAGCATTCTTTGGATGATCTCACTGATGGTTACCCCATCTGCAGTATGGCTTGTGACCAGAGGTATGGAGACAGACCTCAGATGAGTGCGGTGCGACTGGCCATATGAATCCACTCGTCACTTGTGGTGGGAATGTCCAGCATCGAAAAGGGTCTGGAAGTGGTGGCAACATTGCTAGGAGCTGATGGGGGGAAAGGGAGTAAAGTGGGATGAAGCCTGGGTCCTACTAGTTATTTTGCCTGAAGAAGATCAAGGAACGAAAGGATGGGGCTACCTGGCTCACGCAATCTGATGTTTGATTTGTGAGATAATCTTGATGGATCGTAATAAGGCTCGATTCCACAACAAAACCTTGGCAGACACAAAAATCAAAAGGCTGATAAAGAGGGGACTGAAGCAGATAATCAGGATTGATTGGAGGAGGAAAGTCAGAAGTGGGAAAGGCAACAAGAAACAACTTTATTGGTTCTTGAGAACGTGGGCAAAAAGTAACTAGTTGGCGGCAGTTCACAAGGAAAGAGAGTTAGTTCTTTTGAGATGGATTCTGAATGCACCAGGTTAGGAGGTTCAGAGATGCCGAGGGAAAGTTGAATGGGTTAGAAAGGAGAGCGAGCTCTGGTTTGTTTTGGTTGGTCGAGGTTTTACGGGCTATGGGGCGCCTTTCACGAACCAGGGTAGCTCGACTTTGGGGGTAGACCGCGGTCCAATAGGGGAGGAGGGTGGAGAGTGCCAAGGGATACTCGGAATAGGAGTTCCAACTAGCCATTTAGGCTGGATCCGGACTGCTATAAGGCTTGTGTAACTTCGCAATACAGGAAATCCGCAACCATTTATAGGTCACGTATAGACTTCATTTTACTATCAGAAGACCTAGAAAGAGTTCCTTAGAGGGCAAATACCTTTCCTCAGAGCCCTTGGCCCGGTGCGGATCACAAAATTTGTGTGATACGATTATCATTTCGTAAGAAGCCGTACTGGGGGAGAGGGTTTTATAAGTTGAATACGTCTCTTCTACATATTCCTCGATTCAAACGATTTACGCAGGATGTATGGATATTCTGGCAATCAACTAAGTCTCAGCATGAATCTCCTATTGAATGGTTTAATAATGGCTTAGCTTTTGTGGCTCGAAAATGTCACGATTATTCAAAACTACTAGCAAAGGATAGATATCAGCAGGAATACAAATTCAGAAGCAGATTTTGCATTATGAGTCACAGGATTCCGAGTCCAATCAACAACAACGAACCGATATCAGTAACCTAAGGAATCAACTACTTTCCTTTGCACAACATCATTGGCAAGGGTATCTTATTAGAGGAAACTAACTAAACATCAAATTGAAAGACAAATTGATACTACTTTCTTTGCTATGGCCAAGTCTCGGGCCAGAAGGGCAGTTATAGAAGGGTTGATAGACCCCACCATTCCCTTCCATATCAATAATCTTATTTCCTCAGCAGGTAGTTTTAAAACAGCCTAGGATTTCTTCAAAGGTCTTTTCACATCAGCCAAAAATTCTCGGGATATAATTAAGGATAGTAAGGAGATATCTTACTTTCTAATTCTCCTAACAAAAACCTTCTCGCAGGAACAAAAGGACGCACTTGAGAAACAAATTTCAAAGGAAGAGACCTGGACAAGATTACTTCAAATGAAAGAAGATAAACCCCCAGGTATCGATGGGTTTCATAAATAATTTTGAGAATCTATGTGGCCGATATTTTCTGATGATCTAACTGAATTCTACAATTCGGTTCAAAGTTTAGGATATATCGGAGAATTTGTTGGACAAAGAATTCTCACTCTTCTCTATAAAAAAGGGGATAAATCTAATATTAGAAATTATAGGTCAATCACATTGCTAACTGTTGTCTATAAGATGCTTGCTAAGGCTATAGCGAATAAAATGATTCTGATTATGCCAGAAATTATTCACCCCTCTCAAATAGGGTTTATAGAGGGACGTCATATACAAGGTAATATATTAGTGATTCATGAGATAATCAAATTGGCTCGTTGGTCCCATCTAAATGCAGCAGTCGTTCTTATAGATTTTGAGAAAGCTTATGACCATGTGGACTGGAGATTATTGGATGCTTGTTTGTCAAAGATGAACTTCGGTCCTGTTTTGCGTCAATGGATTAGTATATTACAATGATTACATGATAATGCTACCACCAGCGTTCAAGGGAACGGTCTTCTTTCTCCACAAATCAAACTACAAAGATCGGTGCGTCAAGGGGATCCCTTGGCGCCGTTTCTCTTCCTTATAAATTATGGAAGCCTTGGGGGCGAATCTCCGAAGTCATCACAATCTAAAAAGGTTAAAAATCAGTGGTATTCCAGAGGAGGTCATACATGTCAGTTCTACGTTTGCTGATGATCTCATTCTTATGATGGAAGCCTCAACAAGTAATATGATGGAGATCAAGGCTTTAATGGACAAATTTACCCTAGTATCTGAACTGTTAATTGGGGCAACAAGACACAAGGTTGGTGGATACATTCCAATGGACTCAGACCACCAGAACAACCAAGAGTGAAGTGGTTATCTCTAGAAGCCCCTATTCGGGTATTGGGAGTCTCCCCCACTGCTTTTGGGAGACCCTCTACAAACGATGATTGGATAACAAAACCTGCGCTAGAAAAAATATCCCAATGGAAAAATCAACATACTTCTTTGTTTGGAAGGGCATGAATCATCAATGATGTAATATTAACATCTATTTGGTACAAGTCTGCGATCTGGTCACTCACCAGAACAGCAACCAAGACATTGAAAAAATTAATAGTATCCTTCCTCTGGCGGAGTAATCATGAAATTTTGAAAGTAATTCCAAGAGTGGCATGACTTACTCTTATCCAACCTAAGTCGAAGGGGGGTTTAGGTATATTGGATCCAACATTACAATGTCAAGCATTGCCTCTGCAATGGATGAAATCATTGATATTTTCTCCAGAGGTGCTCTGGCTACCTATGACACTAGAGCAAATACGACGTTTGGTGTCATCTACGATTGACGGGCTACACCCACTCACATGGGTAGAAAATCGTTACTGGTCCATTCCAAGAGGAAATGTATATTTACATGGGGAAGGGAGGGGGGGGAAGTAAATTTGGGTACCGGTCAGGATACTTTTGGGGTTTCTCTTATTAAAACCTGACGACAACTTCCACTTTCTGACATACCGTTTCCATCAAGATATGAAGAAGTGCTAAGACAACCTTTTTTGGGGAATAAATGAATCACAGACAGGAATGAATGTGTTTACAATAGTTTTTCACATCCACGGTCAACCTGGGTTAAAAGGGGAATCCTTAGGATTAAGTATATATGAGACCCATCGGTAAAGAACTGGAAGTTTGTGGAGCAACTGAAATTCACACTTAAATATGCTCATCACCCACCTGAAATGTTGGACCAAATAGTTTTCTCCATTCCTTTTCCCTGGGTAAAAACGCTAAGAAAAAAATTCGGTCTGCAAGATTCAGATTGGGTGGCAGGTTATGATTCAGATAATGTATGGATAATAGGTCAGGTTGTGTTCAAATATCAGGATGAAGCAATGATAAATATTTTCCGTTTGCAACATGATTTCTTTTTGGCTAGGTATGAACCAGACAGGGTAGAATGGGTGCCTAACAAAATGTTGTACAAGATTAGGGTCTTACATACAATACCCGGCCGCACAAATCTTGCTCGATGGCGGACTTACTACCCGGAAGTCCCAATACCAGAACTTTCACTGGACCCTGAGGAATGGACATGGAAGGTCACAAAGAGAGGTAAGCCTCGAACGCTTCAATCCCTGACTGTTAAAGCGGCCTATCGGATGTTGAGACCCAAAGTCGATGTTCCAGCAATTGTGTAAGATAGATGGGTAAGACATCTCAACATTCACACAGACCAATTTCAAGCAGTACGATGGTTTCGGTTCACTAAGGAAAAAACAGCCAAATAGGCTTCACTTCAATGGCAGATCATACATAGATGTTTGCCCACTAACGATTGGTTGATAGATCACTCAATGCTGGAACAACGAGGTGTGGTGCTACCATGGTGTCGCTCTTGTTACTCAGTGTCTAGGGTCCATCCTTATGTGGCGTCGCTGGGACTGTATTTGGCGTAGACTAACGGGTCTTGAGTGGCCTTGGGAATGGAGAGCCCTTTTACTAGGACAATGAAACCCGGTTGACTTGCCTCTCTTAACCTTTCAGTCCAATCTATTCAGTCTTGGTAGGAAAGCAATCATGTGGGCCATATGACAAAGGAGGTGTGTAAATGTTTTGGAGGAGGTAAGTATGGAACGGAAGGAAGTTTCTCAAAATGCCAAACAATTTGTAGAAACAGAAATTCGGGCTCAATGGGCTAATCTTAAAGTTAAATTAAAGTCTTTAACTCAAAAGAAAGACATAAAAAAAATTATTCTCCAATTTACAATGGACTGGTTAGGGGGATCTCAGACGCAAGGTATTGGGCAAGTGGTGTGGCCTGATGAGAATGAGCCTGGGATGCGTCTTAAAAAGAGTTACTCATTGCAGTTTAATGACCGGTTTGATATTCAGCCAGGGGAGGTTGCAGAGATGCTGCATAATGAAGCTTGATTCCTTATCATCAGGAGGGTTAAAACTGCTAGAGGTGCATGCCTTATATGGCGGTCCGATCAGGACTGAAGAGGTGGTTTTGATCCTTTTGTTCCCTTTTGATGCATATCACTGTCTCTTATACACATCTAGATGTGTATAAGAGACAGATACCCGTGAGTGTTCAATGGAATGTTAACTTGT